AATTTAGTTCGATTGCCTTAAGGCTCGTTGGTTTGACGCTCACCACGCCTGGTCGGGTCCTCGAAAGCCCACTCCGGTCTTCGCTAGGATGACGGAGATGACGGAGGAATGGATGAGCGTAGACCCGTCCAACTCCCAGTGCTATTTCTTCATGTCTTGAACACGCTGTACTGAATATCTAACTATCGGCCGTGCCAGGTTACCGGCATGTGACGCTGTGACGTCACTCCGCTTTAGCCAATGACGGCAGATAACCACAGCCCATGCACTTGCAATCGATCAATGCAAGCTTTAAAACCGGGTTCGCTCCAGTAAGCTGCAGCCATCCAGTTGCATCCCGCTTATTTCTGCCCATTCAGTTGATTCTAACGGTTGTCACCAAGAGATAAACCTCCGCACAAGACACGTTCAGTGCTCAGCATGCCAGTGCAACTTTATTACGTTTGTCTCTCTGGGCCTTGCGAACCGTCTTTATCAAGATCACACTATTTGCGCATTACAAAATATTGCAAAATAGCTGACAAGAGGGAGGCAGCTATGCCTTGCGGTTTTTTCTGGATGCTACTGGCGGTTTCTTTACATTCCCGCTTGAGTGAATGCAGCGTACGGATACGCAGCTTCTTTGTTTCCGTCAGTGGCACATTTTACATGTCATATCAACTTTGCTTTCACAAACGCTCACATCACGATGAACACCCAAGAAATTGCCATATTAACCGTCGCATCATTGCTCTCACCATTCCTTGCCAACAATCTTCCCCCCAGATCTCTAACTCATCATCCCATGCATTCCTATCGTGCATCTTATCTCCTCAGCGATTCGTCCGCTATCGAAGAAGAGCTGCATGACTCCGATAGCTGCCGGCGAAACTTGAGCGTTTTAATCTGATCAATTTGGTTGTCACTGTGGCCAAGACACTGGTGCTAATTCCCTGTTCATTTGGACGCAGGGGTGCAGTCTCCCTCCCCCACCCCAATTTGAGAAGAAAGTAATTCAAATCCATGATGAAATCTGATCTTTGTATTTGTAAATCGTATTTTGCCGGTATATTCAGCCATGATGTTCTGCCCAGCCCCATCCCACCCACCTATCTCGCAAAACTCCACGCCCCTGACCGAGGGGGATACGGTAGGGACGACTATCTATTGACTTTACAGCCCACTCGGTCAACTGGCAACGAGCCAGGGGGTGAGCCTGGTACATAACGATCGTGGCACAGCATGGTGTGACGCTATCTATATATGTGCATTTATATATACATATATAATATATAAATATATTATGTATATATGTGTGTGCGTGCGTGCGTGCGTGCGTGCGTGCGTGCGTGCGTGCGTGTGTGCGTGTGTGTGTGTGTGTGTGTGTGTGGTGTGTGTGTGTGTGTGTGTGTGTGTGTGTGTGTGTGTGTGTGTGTGTGTGTGTGTGTGTGTGTGTGTGTGCGTGTGTGGGTTGTGGGTGGGTGTATCCACAGACCTGCCTGCCAAAGAGTTGAATGCCAAATAACCACTCGCACTGGAATGAAATGACCTGGGTAGTGGAATCACGGCACATGTAATGAACGTTGCTGCCACGTCCTTAAAGTTCAATCCTGCCTGTCCGAAATAAAGTTAAATACCACCTTTCTTAATAAAAATGTCTGTTAGACTGAACTTCTTACGAGTTTGTTGCAACACATTTTTTAATGAGATATCGCGTAGCACTTCGACAATAATGTCTCAAAGCGGTGAAAATCTGCAAAAGATTATCCGTTAAAAAGTTAGCTCTCCTGCAACGTACGAGCGACGCCGACGCCCCAGTTGCTTCACACCCGACGCTTGAGGGAGGGGCAGTCAGAAACAGAACGTTCTTAACGACACTTTTTTGTTCTGGTTCTGGGACCATATGTCTCAGACCTACAATATGCCCGCAGATGATAGCCAGTTCCATTCAGAGAATGTCACATTTATAGCCCTGACTTTAATGTGAGATGTCAGCACATAACATCCGATGACAGGCTACCTTGGCTTTGATTCATCTTTCAATCTGCCGAAAATGATTTTTTTGCGGAGCGATTTGACCTGACGATTGAACGGACTCAGCTGGTCCATCTCACCGGATTGTCTATGGAGATCGCAGTCCGTATGATGCATGAGTGGACCCAATCCGAGAAATTTTTCGATCCTGTCCCTTCTGACGACTTCCACGACTCTGACCTCTCTAACCATTTTGACACCTTGACGCCCATGTACATCCATGAGCGTGTTTGTGTCGTGAGAGGCTCGCTGGCCGATCTACCAACACCAGAAAATTTGTGTGACTCCACATGCATTTGGTCGACCTAAATGCAAATTCACCCAAAGCTGAGTTAGAAAAGTTCGTTGGTAAAGTAAGGGTACCGAAACTGCGGTGCAACCCTAATAAGGAACCCTATCGGTGTGACTATAATTTATTTAGTTCGCACAACCGCTCTGGGCACCCGTGAGTACAATGAGTCTGTTAGTAGCATAGCTGAATCTGAGCAGTGTTTTGATAACTGACGTCATGAAATTACATTTGATAGTTAGATAGTCTTCCCGAATGTTTGAAAGACACCAAAATGATGATTTAGACACGATTCCCAAAACTACCATTTCATTGTTTACCATGATGTGCTTCTGAGTGCTTATTTTGTATTTACGGAAATGCAGAGCCACGGTGAGTTTGGGCCCGGAGGCTCAATAACTTTCCAATGAAGATGTGTTGCGTATGTAGTTTGCACCGTGTTCGATACTTTGGAGCCTTCAAAGACCGCTCTTCCCCTGGTCAGGCGAAGTAGATCGCTGGCCAACCTCCCCAGGTCGTGCCACGAATTTGCTGCTGCTCTTTTCACCACCTCAGAAAAATAATCGCGATAGGCTTGCGATACCATTTTCACATTCTTAAGTAGCGTGATACAACTTGCAACGCAAGCAAATGCAATCGTTTCACAATGAAAGAAGCCACACGCTGAAGGGTTTTTCCCGGCGAAAGACAGGCCCTTTCTTATCGCAACATCCTTCACCTTGCCTTCTCACTAAGAAGACATCCCTAGTGCAGCGATGGATTCATTCTCGAATTTTCAACCAAAACTTTGCTGGAACTCAGTCCCGTACTGCACATAGTCCATGTGTACTGTATGTGTCCGGGGGGGGGGGGGATGTCGGTAGTGTAGTGGTTAACGCGTCTGCGTTGACCACTACACTACCCCCCCCCCCCCCCAGTGGTTAACGCGTCTGCGTTAACCACTGCACGTCTGGGAAACCAGAGGTACGGGGTTCGATTCCCCGCGGTGCCCGCGCCTCCTGCCAGGATGAGAGCCAGGCGACGCCATATAGCCTCAGCAGCTGAGAGCGCCGTAAAGCCCCAATAACACACATGCTGTATGTGTCCATGCATGAATTTGCATGATGGTATTCAGCCAGCCGCGCAATATATGCGTAACGCCAGGCGCCGTTGTAGTTCGTATATTTCATCTCCTCAAAGCTTCAGTTGCCATGTGAGAGCAAAGAGGTGTGATAGACCGTGATTGGAATATTGAGCCAGTTTGAAGCTAAATTGAGACGGCGGACCAGAAAATAGTCACCACCGCGCGCCTTTTGTCGATTTATTTGCTATTAGAACCCGACCAAGTGCTGCGAAAACAATCACCTGGCGACGGAACGGGTGACGCAGCGGATATATTTTCTGTATTCGAAATCAAAGGCGTGAATCTGACTCTGCCCTCACTATCCGCTTCATTCGGAATCCTTTCAACTCCCCGTTTATCTGCGGGCAAGCTGCCTGCATCAGCCGGGAGTGTGCTTAAGTATCCCCTGGCGGGAGCCCCGCCCGTGCGCCCGCACAAACCCCGAAGAAGAGTCCCTGAGCGGGGTAAATTTCGGTAACGGAGGACTCCCGATGCACACCGTCTTGCAACAATATTCACCACTCGATCCTGCATCACACAGCCCTGAGGTGGTCGTTACTGACAAGACCGGCTCTAGTCCAAATCAAACAGACCCAGGGCGGCCCTTCAGTGGTCGGAGACACTTATAGTCAAAGACAGTATGAATAACTACATATATCTCCGGCTTCGCTGGTTATTTCTGTTTCGTTTCATTGACCCCATGTTCCAGGTGCCTGACCCGATCAGATCGTGGCAGGAGCAGTTCCGGACAGCCTCTACAATACATGCAATACAGCCTCCACAATACAGGCGCAGGCCTTCGATGTGAATATCCCCCAAATTAGATCCGACTCCTCCAAGCATGTGATGCGGGACATGCCGAATCTTTCTGCGTACTAGGCGTGGGGCCTCGGGGCGTAGGTCGAGACAGGGTTCCAGAAAGTGACTGGAAACTTCGAGAAAGTCTGGAATGACTTCGAAAATAATGCAGGTAACCATACACACAAATAACCATATACACCTTAGTCTGTAAAAATTTGTTTTCTGAAACTTCACCCTCGATATGCAGAGCCAGGTGCAAAAGTGACTAACTTCGCCCTTAACATTTGTTTAACCATCGCCGTATCTGTGGGATGTCAAGCATGCAGACTTCCTCACCATTGTAGGGCTTGTTTATAACATTCCCCTGCTCTGTCCATGGTATCAATACACACGAGACGCAGCTGACGCGAGCCAGATGGCGAAAAGAGCTGAAGTTTTTACTGTTTCGAGCCGGAGCGATATGTGTCATTGTGCGGCACTGAGGCGTTACGACACATTCAGCTGCTGAGGCTACATGACGTGGCCTGTTTTCGCATAGACAGGACAGGCGAGCACCGCGGTTAATCGAACCCCGTGCTCTGGTTTCCCAGACGCGCAGCTTAACCACTACACTGCCGACACTCCGAGCACACAAACATAGACTGCGGCACCAGCCAAACTCCATCTGCGAGACTGGCTGGCCCCCCGCGGCTCTGAACCGAGCACCGGGTCTCCCGGGCTCGACAACGGCAGCTCTGGTTCCACGTGCTAAGATTCGTGCCGCGGCGACATCAGACCCAGTCTGGAACTGCGTACGTCTGCCCCCGACCCCGTCAGAGTCGGCGACCACTCGCCAGCCCGGTGCGCCGGTCCGCTCCGGCCGCGGACCTCTCAGCCCTGCTGCTGCTGCTGCAAGCCCGCTGCCGCTGCCGCTGCAAGCCGAGATGACGGACGAAGCGCGACCGGCGGCGCTGGCGGCCGTGTTCGACGGCCCGGCGGCCGGCCTGCGGCTCCAGGCGCTACCGTTGCCGGCGCCGGCGCCGCGAGAGGTGCTGGTCCGCATCGTGGCGGCCACGGTGTGCGGCTCGGACGTGCACACCGTCCGCGGCGTGCGCACCGAGCCCACGCCTTCGTGAGTGTCAGGGCGGACCCCCAGCCCTGGGTGGAGCCGCGATCTCGCCGCGACCCAGAGCTGCGAGCGCGCCAGTGTCTCGTGTCAGCGGCCTGGCACTCGTGACTGCCCCGTGTCGAGCTGTCGCTCTTGTAAGAGCCTCGTGTCAGCGCCGAGCCCGCTCTCTCTTCCCCTGTCGAGGCTACGCTCCCTCTCCGCGTCAATCCCACGCTCTCTCCTCGCGTCCAGTCCACGCTCCCTTTTCTTGTCGAGCCCACGTCATCTTCCCGTGTCGAGCTCACGTTCTCTTTTCTTGTCGAGCCCACGCGGTCTTCCTGCGTCGAGTCCACGCGGTGTTCCTGTGTCGAGCCCACGCTCTTTTCCCGTGTCGATCCCATCCCGCTGCTTGTTCGGACCTCGCCCACGGCCTAGGGCGGGTCCCTTCGCTGCCCCTGCCGCTGCGGCGTCCCACCGTAGGCTCCGACGTCATCAGATGAGAGATTTCTCTGGAAATTCGTGGTTTTGTGCAGTTCGGTTTTATATCTTCGTGGAGAGTGATTTAAGCAATCTCGAGGGGTGCGCTTGAAATTACGCATGCAAATCATGTGTGAGTGAAACGAATAGATCCTGGCTAACTTCTGCTCTGGGACAACGCAAGTCACTGCCTTATTCAAGATGCCGAGAAGTTTTTGACCGATGTTCAAGAAATTAATGTGACACCAGCAGCAACCTTTTGGCGATAGTTTTCAGACAACGCAGGTCTTTCTTATGCTGCTCAGACTCAGGTGGAAGACGTCATAAGAAGTAGACAAGGTTTCACTTTGCTGGCGCACTCTTTTAAAATGTCTATATCGAGTGACTGATAGTTTGCCTTTCAGCGGCGATGCTATTACTTGTGTGCCAGGAGTAGGGGGGGCGATGCAAGTCGTCCCTGCCTTTATATCCCTTACCCTTGTCAAGAAGCTGAGAGCTCTGTTCGTTATCGCTATCAAGACAAATCTTTACGCTGTAAAAAATAACGATTGTGAACTCAGAAGCCAGGTGAACGTTTATGTTTGAAAAGAGCCCAACGCGCGCTGCGGCTGCCACTGTGGCGCTGTCCGTGGATCACAGTGTGCCATGGCTGCCACTGTAGTGCTGTGCATGGGTCACAGTGTGCTACGGCTGCCACTGAGGCGTTGTCCGTGGATCACAGTGTGCTACGGCTGCCACTGTGGCGCTGTCCGCGGGTTACAACGCGCTGTGAAGAGGGGGGGGGGGGGGGGGGTTGGAGCGCAACCGAAGTAAAGCTGGAGAGTACAAACGCAGGTTTGGACAGCGCAACATTACGTTCGGGTGCAGTTACAAATCGTGCTAAGATTAAAAAGAAACTTAAACCGTTCAGCCGGATACCGTTGGGTTCCAGTCATAACGAGGAAAGCCATCAGCTATTTGTTTCGCATCTCTAGCCCAAGTAGGTGACAAGGGGCCATTCCTTTTTTGGAACGTAGCACAGCCCAGCGTAACCACGGGTGTTGGGGGTCTCACCCGGCGCATTCAGAGCGTAGGGGAAGGGAGGAGGGAGAGAGGGTTGAAAAATAGGGAGGGGAAGGTTGAATAAGGTTGATCAAATATGCGTCACGCGTGTGATGTGCGGCCGGCGTAGTGAGCTACCTTGATGATAGCGGGCTGGGTCTGCCGCTGGTGATGATGGGCTGGGTCTGCCGCTGGTGATGATGGGCTGGGTCTGCCGCTGGTGATAGTGGGCTGGGTCTGCCGCTGATGATGATGGGCTGGGTCTGCCGCTGATGATAGTGGGCTGGGACTGCCGCTGGTGATAGTGGGCTGGGTCTGCCGCTGATGATGATGGGCTGAGTCTGCCGCTGGTGATAGTGGGCTGGGTCTGCCGCTGATGACATTGGGCTGCGTCTGCCGCTAATGATGGTGGGCTGGGTCTGCCGCTGGTGATATTGGGCTGGGTCTGCCGCTGGTGATAGTGGGCTGGGTCTGCCGCTGGTGATAGTGGGCTGGGTCCTGCCGCTGGTGATAGTGGGCTGAGACTGCCGCTGATGATAGTGGGCTGGGTCTGCCGCTGGTGGTATTGGGCTGGGTCTGCCGCTGGTGATAGTGGGCTGGGTCTGCCGCTGATGATAGTGGGCTGGGACTGCCGCTGGTGATAGTGGGCTGGGTTTGCCGCTGGGATATTGGGCTGGGTCGCCGCTGGTGATATTGGGCTGGGTCTGCCGCTGGTGATATTGGGCTAGGTCTGCCGCTGATGGCGGCCGGCGGACGGCGCCGTGCGGCCGCCGGCGCTGATTGTCCGCAGCTCACCGTCCGCTCCTAATTGTCCGAGATTTGGCGCGGGTGGGTCGGGTCAGCAGGACGGTAGTCGCTGGACGCTGCCGGCCGGCGAATCGGCTCATTTCCGCCCCGCCCCTCCGCCCTCCCACCAAGGTCTAGCCAACCAAGGGTTGCCGAATGGTCAATACTGCTGACCCCGAACGCGCGATCAGTGGGTTTTCTGAATCTGATGCCGCGGAAGCGACCCGAAGGCAGAAGTAATGTCTATGAGTCGGACGCCGGAAATGTATGAAACAAAATATGAAGCTTGCAATTGTTGGCTCAAATGAGTGAATGCAGTAATAACAGAAAAAGCCGTCACTATCACTGCTTAATAATTTTATCGGTGCATTTTAAGTAGCTGATATGAAAACTCGCTTGTCCCTCCAACCTCGTGCCTCAGTGGCTGATCAATTACTTCCTCTTAGGGCCTTTGTTCCTTATGTTCGGCCTCCATCAAGTAGATATTAGCCAGAATCCTTGGAAGCAGGATGGCAAAAGTAGAAGAAAACGATACATGCTATTTTTTGCCACAAATGCTTGCTGCATGGGTTGTTTAACCGTTAGTATTTGTTATGACCGTTTATTGGTGTCATATTTGTGCATTTCTATGCTTTGCTTTATAATTACGCAATCTATTGGATGGTATTGCTTAAGTGAACAACGCTGCCCCATACTTTGCGGTACCTGTTCTGAGACCATTTGTAGTTTTAATTTTTTGCACTTAATGTGCGGTATTAGTGCAACTGCTCACATGTATTGCCATGTTAAGTAGTGGCAGTGGCGCAGTTGACAATAATTGGCCGGGTGAATAATTGGCTGATAAATAGAACAGAAGAGTGTGAGCGAGCGGGGTGTAAAAGTTGAAAACAACCTAACATACCTCGAAAATACACCAACAAACGGGTATCTCCCGAATTTTATCCACTCTTTATCAAAGTTGGGGAGCCCCCTCCCCTTCCAACTGGAAGTATCCATTATTCCTAGACAGTTGGTCGCTTAAATTGGTCTCCATTTGTCGTGGCAAATGACAAATAGCTTCTTTAGAAACAGGCGGAATTCTGAAGAATGACATGGGATGCTCTGAATGACGGGATCACAGAATAGGAAAATGATATCAGCAAAGGCTCGACACCAGAAACAACAGGAGAAACATGCTCTTTGCAATTGCTTTTACATTAACGCAGCATCCAATGGACACGATCCGCCGGGCTACCCCTCCGCCACTGAGTGGCTGACACTCGTTGCAGCATTCTGGGTCACGAGGGCGTCGGTCTGGTGGAGATCAGTCGACGGCCCGGCGTGGAGCCAGGCCACCTGGTCACCTTCGCCATCTGCGACGTCTGTGGCAGCTGCGACCGCTGCGCCACCGGCCTCAGTCAGAAGTGCAGGGCGCTCATGAAGGTATGTACCTGATAGCCCTTTACAGGGCCGAATCATGTGCGTGTGCTGACGCAATAGCATGACGTCCACAAGGGGTGTATGATGGCTGATATAGCGAAACTTCCACGGATTTTCACGCAAACGATTTGAGAAATTAGATGATAGCCGCGAGTTCTTTTTCGGCGTCAGCCTCGCTCTGGATCCTGTATCTTGTCTGTGAGGAAATCTGAAAACGGCGCATTGCATTAGAAGCGTCATTTCACGCAACTTTCAGTGGCAACGCCAACCGTTTAGTACCACACGCATCCTACCACCCGCATGTGTTTCGCCCCATTTCGGGCTTGTCCTTTGATGGTTGTAGCACTGGTACTTTATTTAAAGAACGGTAAAGCAGTGCGTGTGCAGTTGAGGAAACTTAGTGCCATCTCTCGGCAATTGATCCTTCAGCCGTCTCTGCGGCCACCTTTCGTGGTCCAGCGCCTTCGGCTAGTGTTGAGCGGTTCACAGCCGCTCCAATTCGCCCGAGGAGAAAATGTGAGGCAACTTGTGACCAATGCGCAGCTCCAACCCCCCCCCCCCGCAAAACCACCGCTCAATGTGGCTGTTGCAATAGCGGGGCTTTTCTGAACGGTGAACTCATGACGTCAATGCCAACGCAGCTCTCAGCTCCGTAAAACGATGAGTTTCGCAACTTCCACAAGGCACGGAGGCCATGCTGGCGGCGCGCTCCTTCGCTGTCACATCCGTTCCAGTACGGTCACTCTACCCTGTCTAGCGGGTGCGGCCTGAACGGCTGCTACTCGACGCACCTGCTGCTGCGAGCTGGCACGCACATCGTGCGTTTGCCGCCGGGCCTTGCCGCCAACCCGCCGCTGGCGGCGCCTGCCAACTGCGCCCTGGCCACGGTCATGTGCGCCGCTCGCGCCGTGCAGACCCACCTGGCGGCGGCGCCTCGAACTAGGGCGCTAGTGCAGGTAAGAGCCCGCCAGGCAATAAACGTCTCGAGGGGGAGTTCGAGTAGTTTTTGGTTGGAAGTGAGCTTTGCGTACGGACCAATAACGCAGCCGACGGCAGTCGAGAGGGAGGGATGGATATTGCAACAGGGCGATGGCGCGCGTTTGTCAGCGCGGATCGCTTGTGATCGGCTGCGACGGCTGGAGCCGACTCGCGGGCAAATAGCGCGCGACATTGCGCTCACTCAGCTGACGGGCAACAGGCGCGGCGTAAAATGACCAGTCAGGCTGAGGCTTTGAAGCCGTGTCGCGCTGGCAATGGCATTTCACACCAGCTTCCAGGGCTTGACGGCCAAACAGAGGCGAAATGAAGACGTAGCTGCCTCAGGAAATGGCGCCATTTGTGCTGAATCACATTCCCTTTTATTTGGACTCGATGAGCAGGCGGCGGGACAAGGATTTTGAGTCAAGAAGGTTAATCTCTTTCCATAGCACAAGAATAGCCCTTTGTCAAGTTCTTGTAGACGCAGTGTTTCGTAGTTCAGGCGTTAAGTCGGGTGGTAACGGGATCAATTTTGCACAATGACTGCTCCTGGCATCGAGCGATGCATTGGAAAGGAGACCTCAACTGACCTACCTCCGGCTCTGATTGCCTGCTTGCATCACTATTTTTGGCAGGTTCGCATTGACACCACGGATGGGACGCATCTTGGAGCACTTTGCCGTCACTGTAATGTTGCCGTACCCTGTTACAAGTTGTGTAACGATGTCACGTCTCTTTGATGCATTCAAATCCTACAGGGATTTGAATGCATCAAATTGAATGCATCATTTCCCTGGCCACAGCGACAGGGAAATCCTACCACAAATCCACTTACCAGAATTATATTAGAATCATGACTAGATACGTCTTTTCGAGTCATTTGGGTCATAACCTATGGCAGGTCAGCGTCAGGCAATGGCTTCGACGAATACAGTTCCTAGGAAAATGATCAATATGATACGACTGTTTCGTGCTTGATGAAGTCATAGAAATTTGAGATGGTTCTTAAGCAATTTAACTATTGACATTAGGACTACGACTTGTTCTATTGATCTTGAATCAAGCATGAAATGGAGGTTAGATCAAGGTCAAAACGAACCTGTTTTGATGTTGAAAAACTTGTTTATTTAAGCAGTTTTTGGGGCTCACTTTGAATTCCTGGATCATAATGGCCTCAAAAGACTTAGTAATCTGACTTCGTGAAAGCAAGGGAGGTCACCGACTTAAAAGACCTTGAACTGCCCTTTGATTTCAGGAGCATGTCGCCCAGCGTATTACTTGGCAACGATTAGAAACTCAAATATCGAAATAATCCCAAACGGCTAGTTCATTTTTTACTTTCCTTAGTTAAGATAAGGTCACTGGCCCGATGTGAACGGCAGTGAAATTTTGCTTACAGCTGTTATCTAGCTCAAAGTTGGCTACGTGAGGAGATCTGAGTGCAATTCCTGGCATCGATTTGGAGTTTGACCTTGTTCGACTTTACTTGACGCAAAGATCACAACACAGGGACTTCAGAATTTGACACAAGTGAGTTCACATAAAGCTCAGTTTACCTGGTAAATTCGATGCCTCTAGCTCTCGTGATTTGTGAGATCTCCGGAGGTCAGAATGACACCTTCCCCAACCTAAGCGCGGTGCTTTTAACCCGTCACCCAGTTGCATGTTAACAGCGGAGTGATTTGTTCGCGGCACCGTGTCCTTCCTGTGACATGGGCCCGGGTCACCACCTTGCCAGGTCATTTGGGACACAAACGGCATGCATGTGCACCTCTAGGCCGGAACGGAAAGGAGAGTGGCTACCTGGGCTGCCGCGCCTCCTAGCCGGTGTGTCCTCCGCATGCTAGGTACTCTGCTAACTCGTGATATGATGATGACGGACGAGGCGTTGTCCCTGCCGACGGGGCGTTGTCCCTGTCCCTGTCCCTGTCAGTTCCGCGTCTGTTTATGCATCCGATGTGACGGGCGATGTTGACGGACGCGCTGTTGGGGGTTCGGGTTTTAGGTCCCCAGCTAGCCGGCAGGTCAGTGCAGAAGGCTGGTGTGCCCACATTGACGAGATGTCAGGTAGATTCAGCTGGTTCTCACTGAACGTAGTAAGTGCTTTGTCACAGACTGCAGTTGTTCAATATCAGGCTGACGCCATGTTCTGTCGGAATTACTTCGCGCCTTGGAATCACAGCCAATGTAGATATTTCCTTTTTGAGAGCTTTCCTCTGCGGGAGCCGGAGAATAGATGGAAAAGTCTCATGCAGGACTAACATGAGATCATGCTACACTGGCTTCTGACCCATTAACCGAAATGCAGCAAGCGATTACAACTGTTCAGACTCGGTAGCAACTGCGAGCTGACGGTGCAGCCGAAGGTTTCTCCGTTCAGCTCACGTCCACCATGTCGTCGTGGCACCGAGGGAAGATGTTAAAAACATGCTTTGCATCGTCTTTCAAATGTGTCCAACGACACGTCAGGAAGTAAATAACGCTAATTTCGAACGTCGTCAGCGCTCCCCTCAGATGCCTTATTCGCTTTAGAGATACCCTATTAAGTCAAGTCCAGCAGCTTAACAGCAAAGTGCGGTATCATTAATGAGCTGTAAGTATATGCAAGCTGTATGCCTTTGATGATATCCTTGTCAACACACACTTACACCTTTCAGCTGTTTGCATTCCCAGATAGGATGGGTCTTTATCAAACTGCGAGGAAATGCGTGACAATTTTTCTACAAGATGCGTATTGCTCACGGGTCCACCACCCATGGCTAAACGCCCGACCCTTGGCGGCGGCGACCGCGCCTGCGGGGCCGCGCGTTCCTCGGATCGGTTATGGATCCCTTCAGGCTCGTTCTGTGCAGATGTCGACGCCACCGGTGTGTCAGAGGGCCATTCTTCACCTGGGCCCCGAGGATTCATCACACATCGACCGCGCCGCTGTCGGCCCCCGCGCGCCGCCCTAGTCACCGGCGGCTGAACCCGCTCCGGGACCCGCTGTGTGGCAGCGCAGGACTGCGGGTCCCCACCGTCGACCCGCGCAGAAAGACCGCTCTGCAGGGGCTGCTGTTTCGTGGCTGTGCGTTGGTTGTAGAGTATCGGGCCAGTCTTGCTTGGGGTCAGAAAGGTCCCTCACTGCATGGCAATGCCTCCTTTTTATAAAGCTTTTTTCTACTCCCGCTTGTCTTATCCTTCGACTTCATTTCAAGTCACGCCAGCAATGCAGCATGATGCCGTCCTGAAACCCTTTTGAATGCGCTTTTAAATTATCTAGAGATGCAGGCAGTGACACGGATTTGTAAACAGGTTATTACGAAGAAGCTGATTTCAAGCGAAGCGGGGCAAACCCCTCACGCCTTGCATCACTTCTCGCCAATTTTTGTTGTTTTTTTGTCGACAGCCATAGCTCAGTGGTACTTCACTGAGCTGTAAAATAGCTCAAATACAGCAAGCGTAAAGCAACTTCTCTTTCCAAGAGCATCTATATTCTATTTGGTATTCAATATTATCGATGCAATATTTCTTCGACGTTTATTTCCGAAGCCTGTCCCCCTCCCGGTACATCTATGTCTTACGTTTTGTCGCACGGTACCGCTGAAGTGGTACCATACGTATATTGACATATTTTGCGGCTTAACATTAGCGTGGTAGTTGTCGCCACCTGCGCAATGGCCGCTAGTTCATTTTTGTTTCACATTGATCGCCGCTGACTCCTGCTTAGCGCGTTGCCCTTCCATTCGTTCTAAAAAAAAGAAAAGAGAAAACCTGTTTCGTTGCGTCCAACAAAGGACTTCAAAGCCTTTCACCAGGTTGCCGTCGTTTCTCGCACGGGTTAGGTGCTCGTGCAGCCCTGTCGGACCCGTGTCTGGCCTGTTTTTGCCGTGATTTACCACCGCCCCAGCTGGGCGGCCCGTCAGCACGTTCGATCTGCCCTCCGCAGGAAGTCCCATCGCAGCCGGAAATCCTACCACATGTGGGAAATCACTCGCTTTAGATATCGGGCGGCCCCAGGCGGTGGCGCGGACCGCCAGCAGGGCCGGCTCGGCGCCGCGGCGGACGCCAGCCGTGACGCACGCGTCGCTTCTCCGAGCCGTGCGCGACGAAAAAATACGCAAGCTGAGAATCCGCATGCAAATTGTTGACTGAAGTGTCTCCGTCTTCGCGGAGAGGTGCACAAAGAAGCGCGGGACACTGGGGTGGGACGCGGAACACTGGGCTAGGCAGCGGAACTCTGTGGCTGGGCAGCGGAACACTGGGACTGGGCAGCGGAACTCTGGGCTTGGCAGCGGAACACTGGACTGGGCAGCGGAACACTGGACTGGGCTGCGGGACAATGGGCTGGGCGGCGAAACACTGGGCTGGGCTGCGGGACAATGGGCTGGGCGGCGAAACACTGGGCTGGGCTGCGGGACAGATGGGCTGGGCGACGAAACACTGGGCTGGGCTGCGGGACAATGGGCTGGGCGACGAAACACTGGGCTGGGCTGCGGGACAATGGGCTGGGCAGACAAACACTGGGCTGGGCAGCGAAACACTGGGCTGGGCAGCGGGACAATGGGCTGGGCAGCCGCCTGAAGCCGGCCGGCGTTGGCGCTCTGTTGCGCGGTCATTTCACGGAGCGTGAGACGCATCTCCGGCACCGCGTATCTGTCTTGGCTGTGCGTGACTCGTCTCGGCGATTCTGTGTCAGTTATAGCTGTCATGCGCCACCATGCGACCGTATGGCCCGCACCGCCGCCATAACAACACGCGTCGCCGCGTCCGTTTTTGCCGTCCACCACGTCCCTGCGTAATCCGTCCTGACGTGTCCCGCCACACGCCCCAGAGTGACCCATCTCGCCGCGCCCGTAACACGCCCGCCCGGTGCGCTGACGCAGGGCGCCGGCCTGCTCGGTCTGTTCGCGTGCGCTGTGCTGCGGGATGAGCTGCGCTTCGAGCACGTCTTCTGCTCGGACACGGTGGCCTGAGCGGCGCGCCATGGCCGGCAGATTCGGGGCACGGCCCCTTCGAGCCCTGCCAGCTGGACGAGGACGCCGGTGAGGTCACGCCGCCGGTGTCAGACGGACAAAGGAACACGACCCGCAAACGTTTTGTGTTTTTTCACCTATTCTTGTCGTTATCGATTGAATATTTGCACATTATCCTAGCTTTGTCTTCCCACATATTACTTGTGTGCCAGGCTGATGAAAATCCGACGTATCTGAAGCATCCGTTAAGTACGACGCTAACATGTTGCACACATAAATAAGGCGCTGCAAAATAGTACGTAAAATTGGCAAATTTCCGCTCATTCGCACCCTTTCTGCTTTCGTAAGCCTGCTGCTGTTTTGTAGTTACTGTTGGAAGAGAGACACGGAATATGGTGCATAGGGATGTCGCGTATCACGAAACCGCTGGTGCAGAGAGTAGATAAAGCGTGCTCGTTGGACATCAAGGGCCGTTAGCGACGCATTGTGTGATCATAATTAAGCTTCCCGTCTCCGTGGCAATTATGACAGCTTGCGTGAAACCCGAAGAGCTCCAGCGATATGACGCTAATTAGTGTGGAACTCCCTTCCCATTCGCCACAGCTCGAGTGGGCTCTGATGAACTGTACTACTGTACCGCCGCCCGCCGGACGCCACGCAGAGGCCGGACCACAAGCGTGTTTATCGACGCGGCCATCCTTTTTTCAGGCGGGAATCCTCCCATGGCAGATTCCTTCGACTGCGTCATCGAAGTATGCGGAACTCCTAAGGTATGCGTGCTTATGCTCACTGGTATCCTCCTTATGCTCACTGGTATCCTACATTCGAGACTTTTGTCCATGGGCGTGGCCTCTTAGAGAGTGGGCAGATGGTCTTCATAGGGTGTTAAACTTTATTATTAGATCAAGCTACCTCCCTAGACACCAGATTGCTCCCTCCAGTTCAGCTTGTCCCTCCAACCTCAGATGCGTGGTTACACCCATGCTTCTGGTCCATATTTGGATTACCTACTGCACTTGTGTCTCGTCGTGTGTCTTTCCGCGACAATCAAACTCCCGCTGTCATTACTGCGAACATTTTGATTTAGTGTCACGATCATTAGCAGCCATCACCGGCGGACCGCATTCATGAAAGTCGGAGTACCCCTGGCATCTAAGCCTGCGCTGTTCTTCGCTGTTCGCCGTCCGAGCCCGGTTCGAGCTCTGTTCCGAGCCCGGTTCGAGCTACGCTCCGAGCCCGGTTCGAGCTCTGTTTTTGAGCGCGTCCTCGTCCCGATATGACTTGCCTGATCGCCGCAGTTTGTTCGAGCGGTCTCCGTCGGTGACTCCACCGCCCGCGCTCCCCCAGTGTGACGGGCGGCTGCGGCGCCTACCTCACCGCTCTCCCCTCCCTCCCCGGCTTAACTCCGCCGCGCCGGCAGCGAACTTGCGGAGTCGGCTGCGTTTTTGCCCGGCGCGCTTTGTTGTTGTCCCTTTGTAGTCCTTCCTGAGGAAGTTACTCTGGAAAGTCATAGCGCATTGTGCGGCGATCGCAGCAGAGACGGAAAACACCTGCCAACCCTATCCAATAAACAGACCTTTTGAACATTCACAAACAAAGGCGTTCCGACGCAGATGAGATAGCTCTGAGCGTTCCCGATGTCTGGACGGTGCTCTCCTCGACAGGTATTTCCCAGCGGACTGCGGTGCCTGCGTCCAGGAGGCTGCTACATACTGGTGGGCCTGGTCCACCCTCAGTCTCAGCTGGAGGTCACCGGCCAGCAGCTCATCAGGAAATGCGCCACCGTAGCGGGTAATCTGGCCAGTCGCTGCTTTTTCAGCATCGCGATCGTAAAGATACGCAAAATCGTAAAGATTCACAGGTTTGTTGAAACGACCGTGTCCATGTTATACGAGTGTGCGACATATTTGTCGCACAGGGGCTAACACCGGAGGCCTTTGTTGACTGGCGTCATTGCATATTTATGCACAACCTATGGAACGGTGGCTAATTTGCAAGCTACTAACCTTACATTTGTCTTCGGCCCCGTACCAATCATGTCCACGTGACAGGTTGCGAGGCCGCCGCTTCAGCGCGCCTTGCCGTGATTGGTGAGCGTGCCGGCGCTGCTCCGACAGGGGTGCACAACTACGCTGCCGCTGATCTGGACAGAGCCGTGGCGTACCTGGAGCGGGTCTGCCAGGACAATACTTACCCGCTGCAAGACCTGCTCAGCCCCGCCTTCGCGCTCGAGCAGATACAGGTGCGTTTTCGTTGGGATGGCTGCAGGCAGGCGGCGGCTCCCATCCGCGGGTACAGGTGTACGGCTGCTCCTCTGCGACAGGGACAGGTGATCTCGCTTGTGGTGGATCTATCCCAGGCGGGGTTGCTGAAGCTGAGTATTTACCCTGGCCCGGACGGATGCTGGCAGGCAGTGTTTGGCGAGCCAATCGACGCCAGGTGGCCGCTGACTGCAGCGCAGTCGCATTATTTATAAGCCCGCTGGTATTTTGGTTGGACGCCGGCTCAATTTATGGTCGGATGGGTTATTCATGGGGGATTTAGTGTCGATTGTGTTATGCTGTCCACAACAGCTGGCGTTATGATAAGGGTCCAGAACAGAGGCAATGGAATCTGGAGATGTCCAGAGACCATCAAGACTATATTTCCCCTGGGCGTTTCATACCATCGCGATGGTGTGGTAGTGATCGCCATGGCGATAGCTCTTTCTGAAGTAAGCTGATTCTTTCACAGATGACTTAGAGTCGGAATCAGACTCACTGGCTTAAATCGCAGAGAATTCGTGCACAGACTCGACTCTAGCGTAACTGAATATCGGACCAAACAATATGTGGAGCATTGCAATTGGCAGTCAGCCTCAACTTGAACCTGAACGAGCCAGCATCAATAATCCTTGTTCCTCATAGAATTCACAGGAAAATGGAAAGATATATGTGATATTTCGGCTAAATGACTTTAACGCAACAAGTATTGCTGCTAATTTCAAAATTGCATGCCGTTTTACTCGATTTTTCAGGTTCTTTTAACAGGGAGCCACAGTTTTTACAGGTCACCACATTTTGGGGATTAAACAAGGAGCATTTGCCAGTCATTTCCATGATACATTGCGCATGTATAGATTGAAATACGAGAAAAATACGTGTACATGCAAAAAAAATAACTTGACAAGCATCACACATAACACAATCAGACACGCAAGTGGTTTGAAGAGACCAATGTTAAGTAAACGGGCATCGTGCGTCACTTATATATGCAAACGATGCCTGTTAGATCGTAAAGATTCGTAAAATCGTAAAGATTCGCAGGTTTGTTGAAACGACCGTGTTTATGTTATGCGAATATGCGACATATACTATATATATATATATATATATATATATATATATATATATGCGACATCAAACAGACATCGTTTAAATGCTTGTTTAATTGAAATCGTTTGCATGTGTACGTGATGCGTGATGCGTGATGCATGTTTAGTTGAACTTGTTTTCTTGAAATCGCCCTGCGTGTGTGGATGTCTTCTGCGTGGTGCGTGTTAACTTGTGTTCGTTTGCATGTACAGGTACTTTCGGATACCTTAAATTATAAGTTAGATGTGCACTATATCATTAAATGACTACGAATTGCTCATTGCTTAATCCCCTGAATGTTGGTGATCTGCAGAAACCGTGGCTCGTTGCTAGAAAAGAAAATCGAGTGGGATCGGCAGGCAATCTTGATTGATGGTGATATTCGTTTCAATAAAGGCATGTAGCAGAGATATCACATCTACCTCTCCATACTCCTGTGCATTCTACGAGACATAAGGCTATTAATACTGTTTCATCTGTACGCTTAAGGCTCCTCGCAAATGCACTTAACAACTTAAATAATTTTAATCTTGAACGCTTATATCACATCTCCTACTCGCCGTATCGAATTGATCACGGCGCACATGCACCAGATTTGTGCAAATCAGCCGTTACATTTGCATAATAGAACTACTGATTTCAAAAGAAATGTGTTTGCGCTTTCACGATGCATGGAGGGCACCTTGTAATGTACATATCAAGCCAGTCAAATCATGCATCGTCATTGGGAAAAACGTGGTTGGAATGCAAGGTGTGGATACACATGTAGTGCTAAATGACCGTTATGAAAATATCGTATCGGATGAACACAACAGGCGGGGTGATGCTTACTGATTTGTGGGTAGAGGGAACATGCATCCCAGGTCACTTAATCCCAGATTGAGCCAGAGCTGCCAAAGGCAATGTGGGCAGTCTTGTATCAAATAGGTCCGTTAGTAGTCCGTTTCGACTCCTTCGGGACCGTACAAAACACTTGGTCGGATTGTCTTGAGAACGCAGTCGAACAGTGATACTTTTCAGAGTTATGACAAAGTTTTCTCGCCAACTGACCACTCAATCACGTTCCGAATCAGACTGGCGCTAACATACCTTGGGTTTGATCAAGGGTCAAGCAAGATTGTCAGGGGCTAACGGCCTCATTTGACCTAGAAATGGCCATTGAGTTATTTAAAGTGTCTGTTTTTTATATTTTACTTATCATTTAAAGCATGCCAATGTATGAAGCTTTTAACAGAAATGCCTATTCTTGTCGTGAAGTCGTTCAGCATTGCGACTTGACGTCAATTGTTACTTTTGAACAAGTGAACTGCAGTTTTCGGAAAGGATGCAACGGATGAACCACGCTTATGCTAGGCGTATCAGCCTTTAGAAAATTTCGCAGTGCTGCCACTTATGAAGTTGTTAGTAGATCTTACATACGCAGGTTAGGTGTGGGTGAGGAGGGACAATCAGCCTGTGCCAACGAAAGTAAGATCTTTTGGCAACGGGTTACGTGGAAAGAGTGCGGCCAGGAACGTAGTGCCGTGAAATAAAGGGAAGGCTGAGTTGGCAGAAATGGATAGGCCTACCCACAGGATGTTCCAAACGGTTTTTTCCCCTCAGTTATACCTCTATCTTGTCAAAGTTCAGGACTGGGGGCTTCTCCTCAAACCTGGTGACCGCTCTCCTGCCGCCCGTCATAGTCAGTATAAGAGATGTTGCTCGCAGCCAAAGAAGTTGATTGCGTGTTTTGAAGACACACTATCGATCCGGAAGTAATCAGAACTTATGATAACATGTCTGGTAGGGTCGCGTTGTTGCTAAACCTGTATTGTGCACCTTCTTGTTTGCAGTGTTTCCATTTAACATATATCGACCCTCTCTAAATATGTCCCTGCCTACACATGTTCGGCCCCTCCAAGCATCTGTCTTCTCTCAGCCAATCTTTTCATAAATATATATTCTAAGTGTTTGTAAAGGGCCCTTTTCAGCGACAGCTCCGGTTTTTCGGCGGGTATCGACCTGCAGCGACGCGTCAGCTGCCGCCCGGATCTCCACGGAGATCGTTCCCCACCCGCCCAGGACCAATCAGCGACACCCCTGGGGAGATCGAGCCCGTCGAATCCAATGAAAGCGGCGCTAATGTGACATAATTGCTACCGCTGCCTTCCGTCGGCGGCCTGTTTTGTCCAGTTCGGGCAGGGATCGCCCCAGTGACGTCACGAGTAGGAGGGCCGACGGGTGGTTGGTGTTTTGGCGGAATCACACTATGAAGCTGACCACCTTGGCAAAACTGCAGCGTTACGCTCATTTTAGCGCGAGACTACCCGTGGGATGTCGCGAAATACTGCGGATGAGGGCGGAATAACCAATGCCCCAGGCACTCCGTTAAGTGTTATTTGTACGAGCGCCCCAATTAATGGCTGGATGAAGTAGTTTTTCATAGGAACATGTGATCATACCAACGCGCAAAGCGGCGAGGGCCGCCGGTGATTCGTCCGTTCAGTGTGATGGCCGGTTCTCCACGCGCTCTATGGCGGCTGGGGACCCTCAGGGTTTGAGGGTCAGTATGCATGAGGCCCTCAGACGAAACGACGTTGGTCTACAGCCAGCCGTAAACATCGTCCGGTGCTCGCGGAAGTTCTTGAACCTGTCACTTCGCCACCGGTCGGTCAGACGAACACGAACACGCTCTGTTCGCGGGCAGTGGGCTCGTGCTTGTTTGATCACTGAATTTGGTAATACCTAGCCTTAATTTTGATTCTTGCACATCTGAGAGAAGAAATGAAATACCACCGCAACCTATCCACCGTGGTATTTATGTAGCGAAGGCCCGATGTCTGTTGAGAAGGCAAACGCTGAAAACAAGAGATGCGGGCAGCACTTTGTTTTGCCAAAGTTGTTCCTAAGGACAAATGACACCGCAACGTTGTGTACGCTGGATGTTTTCAAACTCAACAGTTTGGCTGCATCCTGTCTTCCTACTCCGATGAGAAATCTCCAGCATGAAATCTCTTATCTGATGAGAAATCTTGCATCACTGCGATACATCCACGCACGCGCTCTGAAGTGCGGCATTCCTGCAGTCAGCGTGCTGCTGGCAGTCCTGCAGGCTGTCCACTCCACGGATCCTAGCTGTGTCCGCAGGCTGTGGCAGTCCTGCAGGCTGTCCACTCCCACGGATCCTAGCTGTGTCCGCAGGCTGTGGCAGTCTGCAGGCTATCCACTCACTGATCCTAGCCGCGTCCGCGGGTTGTCCACTCCACTAATCCCAGCCGTGTTTACAGGTTGCTGTGGACCGGTCCGGAGACTTCTACCGGGCTCTGATTCGTCCTTAGTCAGCTGGCGCCGACCGACGACCTGACCGGTCACGGCAGTGTTCGGTGGCCCGCGCATGGAGCTCCGGCCTGTGCGCCACGGCCTATGTGTCGGCCAGCGCTTGGTGGTGCAGCACCACACGCCCGATGTAGATCTAGCCGATGAGCTGAAAGTAGAGCGATGTAGACATGTGATAGTGTTGTATGGTTTGAATAGAATCATGCATGCCAGTGTCATCCGACCCTCTTGCCCTCTTTCTTGCTTTATCATGCATCCCTCGCGACGTCCCCCGCTTGTCCAAGGCAAGCTGCATGCGTCAGCTGCGAGTGGGCCCGGAGGCCCCTGGAAGGGACTCTGACCTTGCGTCCGGCGTATAACCCGCAGAGGGGTCCCTGCGCGGGCTAAGGTTCGGCGATTGCCCCCCCCCCCCCTCCCAGGCGCATGTCGTTCTGCCCTACCGTATCCATTCTTCTTCATGCCACAGCTCTGAACTGATCATTTCTGATCGAAAGGATCTCTAATCCGAATAACCAATAACCAGAGAGGCCCATGCTGATAGACAATTTTTTTCCATCCTCAGTCTCGACACGTTCATTAGTTTCATATGCCTTTAGAGATGACTAGCTGGGCAGTCAGGAAAACTGGTCGCTGGCGTCACAGACAACTGCTCTCTTACTGCTTACTTTTGCTCCTGTGTGATCTGTCCATGCCTACGTAAAGGGAGATTCATATTCCTTTGCTGGTAGCCGTTTTACCGTTGATAAGTGGTAAGTACTTTGTTGCGTCTATCACACCGTGTGCAACATTTTCCATAGTTTTGTTGAATTCAAGGACCGCAACAGCGTCTCGGCCAATGACAATTGCGGTGGTGACCTGCGAGCTTTGAGAGCATGGGAGTACCCCGACACGTGTCGTCAAGTTGCGGTATGGGTGGCTACCTGCGCGAAGCACTCGAACCAGCTGTCGGTTTGGAAGGGCCAATGGGGGCTGCCTCTGTTCGCAGAAGTGCAGAGGGGATTATTCCCATTCGCAACACTGCAAAAGTTTGGCGTGGGCAGGCTGAGAAATCGAAGTTGGTCCTATGCAGAATTGTTAAACTTAAAGGAATTATTCCCATTCACATGCTAAGAAAGTTTGGCGTGACCAAGCTGCGAGAGCAAAGTTGTTCGTATGCAGAATTGTTAACTTGCGCTTATTTTAAGGTAAGTTCGTGCGGCCGGTGCCGCTTTTGTCACACAGTCATATCACCTACATACCACAACTTTGCGCGCAGTCGCAACAGCAAAGCACGCCAGCCGAATTTGCATTGCTTTAAAGGGAGTGTTCCCACATTCGTATGGAGTTTTGAGCTGCAATAGCCCCTTTGGAAGCTCATCTCGTGCAGTTCACAACCCTGCCCATCTAAAAGGGAGCGTTCCACATTCATATGGGGTTTTAAACTGAAATAGCCATCTTGAACACCTTTCGGGGCTGTTCACAATTATTTCTTTTTAACACCTTTATTTCTTCTATTCTATTAATGTATTAATTATATATATAATTATATATATAATTATATATAATAATTTATTATATAATTCTTAATTTCTATTATCTTCTTGTTAACACCTTTAACAACTTTCTCTTTATTTTCCCTCTACTTTTTGAAGTACACGCCCACGAAAATGAAGGAAGGCATATCGGAGAGTGGGTACAAATTCACCTATGTATTCATGACGTCATACTAACGTCATTCAAATCCTGCCATCCCATAATCACCCCGGTGATGAAGGTCAAGAGAAATATAAGTGTCGAGGCGTTTATGTCTGGCGGTCGTGAGCGCGATATCTGGATATAACGGCCGTCGATTGGCTCATTATCAATGTGGTGCGGGATACAATGACGTAATCAAGCCATGACGCATTGAGGAGCATATTTACTAAGCGGAGGATGGTGCTGTCTAGGTCAGTCTTTTCCACTTGAAAGTATACCAATAGCTTCACGTGAAACATGCCCTTTAAACCTAAAATTCTAGTTTCTGAGCCACGTGCCCGCGAAGATACGGAGACTTTTTCGTGCAGACTGCTTCTAGGCAATTCAAGCAGGCATGACGTCATAGCAACGCCATTCAAATCCTGCCACCGCACAGGCCACGTGATGCGTTGAAGGCCAGGAAGAATATTATCGTCCAGCCGTTCAGATCCGGCGTCCTCGAGCACAATTTACAACTAAAGAGGACGTCAATTGGCTCTCAAACCATGTTAAGCAAGCTGTGCAAGCTCCAGCCACGAAGCACGTGTGGTTAGGGTATTTGAAATAGAGCCGTTTCGAAAGCAATGACTCTTTTCAGGGTTTGGGGGTGGAGAAGACTGGATAACGGTGGGTCAGGACTGCGTCCACCATAATTATAAGTGGGCTTATTGCATTATGTCCGACTTGATTCATTATTTTCAAATGCCGGACATTCTCTGTAATCAGCACATAAACAGTGAGCGTCAGTGACTACCATTGCAAACCTGGCGCTTTCCGACAGCTCGCTCTGCCTCCTGGCGTGTTGTGACGGGATTGGGCATCCACGCGGCTGACGGCTGTAACCGTCCGATGTCAAAGCGTCATAGAATACGTACCTGCAGGCGGATGAACACCATCGACGCACACGCGCGCGCACCGCTCGCGCAGGTGGCTGCGGTCGCATCACCGCAGCAGAAATGCTATCCAGGCCAGCACAGGGGTGAATCCAGCATTGCGACAAGGGAAGGGCCGCACTTCACTGTGGTGTCCCCTGGGATTTCGTGCCTCATCCCCACCCACAAAAGTCCACGGATTTCGGAGACTTCGTTGTCAGATTCTTATTTCGCAATTAGTGACCCATCTTCTGCCGGAATGAACCGCCAAGATTAAACCCACTTTTCGAGCGGACAGTTTTCTTCTTCCTTTTCATGCTGAGCTTCTCTGACTCAATGAGAAGACATAAGCTATCAGGAGATGCAATTAAGTATGCTTTAAGAAACAAATAGTATGAAATTGAACAGGAATAAAATGACAGGACTGAGTGAGTGAGATGCGGGGCGTTACTTGCTCTCATTGCTTCATTTAGCCTTTCTCCAACGCGGCAACATTCATGGACGTTGCAGGGTTTCCTTGGGGCTTTACAAAAATACTGAGCAGCCCATAGATGAAAAGCCCGCATAGATCAAAGCAGGGTCAACCAGTTGCATCGAAATTTCAGTGAAACATTATATGCAATAGTTTTGAGCACGTGCGCCTCCCTGTCTAGGAGAACGAACACCGACACCTGGCGTTGCAGTCTCCATGGGCAGCGTGGCCTCGGCCTCGTAGCTAACATCTGGCGGCGGTCAATGGGCGGGAGAGAAGACCATGGGCCAGAAAGTGGTACTTTCGAACGTTTTATGACATCAAATGGTTTGCGTGCAAAAGGTTGTCCCGGTCCGAAGGTTTGACCTGTGCGATATTCACGTTGGTGCCCGGGGCTGATTAGCACGTTGATCACCGCGAATTCATAACGCTGCAGCTGCTCAGAAAAGCCTCTCAGTGGTCAGACCGGCACAGAACAGATTATTCAGCATTGGTGGACTCAGTCAGCTGAGTGAAATGGAGGTAGCCTCCCTGTCTCATGGACCATGGATCGGTGGAAGTGGTCCTCTGACTGACATGTGATTTTTTGACACTTCAGGATCCAAGCTGCGGGCTGGGCTCTATTTATATGACTTCCAGCCTGCCCTTTAGATGCTCCAATCGGACGGTTGATCGCGGTCCCGAGGGTCTCTTTGGACCCCTCCGGACATAAACACCTGTGGAGAAAGTAACGTGTTTCTGATATTAGTGCCGCTCGCATTTAGTTGCTCGTGAAAGGCATATCTAGGGCCATTAGTGGTGTTTCCAGGAATTTTCCGTCACTTTAAAATGAAGGTTTTGTGGACCTTTTGCGGTATCCCTGGAATTAGATGCCTGTAGAAAATAAAGGTTACGATGCCCTGAATTCGAAACTTTTGGTGCCTCTTTGCGGAAGGGGTCGATTCAGGATTTCACCAGAGTGAAAGTTAAAGAGGTAAAGCCTGCTCCTGGTAGCTCCTTAAAATGAGGATTCTTGGGCCCTTTCAAGAGGCCGGTTAGGTTTTGTGCCTCTAGGAAACAACTGTCATGGTGTCTCGAAATGAGGATTTTGGTAGTTCTCACTCAATGGGGCTTTACAGGACTTCATCAATGCAGAAACACGGGCATCGCGACGCACCCTGAAATTTGTTGTCTGTTAAAAAGAACGCTTTTGGGGACTGTGAGGTGCCCCTCCGATTTGGGCGCCTCTTTAAAAAGTGAAGGTTGAGATCCCCGAAACGCAGGTTTTGGGTACCCCTTCGCAGAACGGGCTGATCCAAAATACGAGCTGAGTAAAAGGGCGCACAAACTGGGGTGCCCCTGGATTTAGGCTCCCTTTTAAAATGATGTACTGAGCCTCTATAACGCCCTGTCTTGATTAAGGGCCTGTTGAAAATAAAAGTTGTGGTGCCCCGAAGCAAAGGTTTTGGTGCTTTTTCGGGCGAATGAGAGCATCCGGGATTCTGTCAAGATAGACGGCACGGAATGCTGGAATCCTGGTACTATTGGAATTTGGTGCTCTTGAAAATCAATATTTGGAGCCCTTTGTGGTGCCCGTGGCATTTGGTGCACTTTGAAAATAAAGAACTAAAGGACATGTGGTTCCAAAATGGATATTTTGGTGCCCTTCCACTTTGAGATTTTGATGACCCGAAGAGGGTACCAAAATCTTATGGGGGCCAGAGAGAGGGCCATGGCCTCGTCCCACCCTCTAGATCCGTCGGCGGGCCATCATGCTTGTGCTTGACGCCAGGAAGAGTCCGAACTGACTCAGGAATCAAATGAGCATTGCTGAGACACGAGTGGAATGGATTCCCTTGATTTCTCGCTGTGAGCCAAAGTCGTGTCTGGTTTCAACGAATACTTGATGAGTTGCAATGGCATACACTGAGGGTCTGATGACGTACACGTAGATCGACTAAAACACAGTCACATGCAAAGGTTTTGCTATCAAACAAGCCCGTAGAACGACTTTATCCCTGACGGCTGACGCAGGATTTGACTTCATCGGAATCGATTCGGGAATGCACCGATATCTTCTTGAGTCGTGATCAGTCAGCTCAAAGATGTTCTGTGTTGCTCGGAGTCGGGTTTGAGACGCACGCCAGCAGCTTGTGGGCTGGAGTAGGGTCGTCTTAACCCAAGCAGGATTAAGCAGACTTG